TCAAGAACATATTGTGTAAATTTTTTTCGTTTAGAAATTTGTCGTGTATCTTGTGCATAGAACCATTTTTTTTTAATTTGTTCTAAATCAAGAAATAATTTAAATGGATCTTGTGTTCCAACTAAACGAAGTATACGATGACTAATACAAATAACAAAAAAAAAACAATTTAAAATAGAAATAAATAAAATAAAATTTATATTTTTTACTTAAAATTTTGTTTGATATTATTTGGTTCCGGTTGATGATGCATGATATTCTGCAATAATGCTGGATTAGAAAAAGCAGCAAAATACGGTTGTTGTCGAAACCAACCACTTGAATTTAATGATAAGGATGATGAGTTAGGTGATTGTGGTTCACTCATTTTTATTATTCTTGTTGGTATTTAAGATCCCATAAAATGATGATAGTGATTGATTTGGAAGCAGCGCAAAGAGTGCGCGCGTGAAAAATAAAACAACGATGAAATGATGACAAAATAAAAGATGGAAATGAAATGGTGTGTGTGTTTGTAGTTCGGCTTATGCATTTTCTTTCTCTTTCTATCTTAATTCTTTATTGATTTGTTTTTCTTTTCTTTGCTAGTACATGTGTTCAAACAAAGATTTAATCGCTAAACATGGACGTCTGTTGAAATAATAAGATAGATAGATATATATGAAAAGGAGTTCACTGAACTTTTTTTCGTCACATATTCACATAATCTCAAGTTAGAAAAATATTAATATAATTATTCATTATGCAGTCTAGTTATATATACATCAAATTCTTGTTTGAAATATTCTATGATGTTGTTAGAAAAATAAAAGATTTTCATTTTTAAGATTGAACTAACGTGGCGAATAGTTATTGCCCGTTTTACTGGAATTTTCAATGAAAACGAACATCTCTTTCTTGAAACAATGAATTTTCAAGCAGAGTGCGTTATTGTGTCTTCCTACGGTAAACAACTGTTTTCTTTTGAAAAATTAATTATCTTGAGAAAGACATGTTTGCATTCGTTGAAACATTTAGGACTATCTAATGACTATTAAATCTATTGACAGATAAAATTTCAGATCAAAACTCTTCAATTTGGTTTTTTGAAATGGCGGATTCTTAGTAAAAATTCCAGTAAAATAGCCATAACTCTTCATCAGTAGGTTATGGACTCGAATTCTTTTTCGGATTTTTCTTATCTCCATGTACTCCATCGAATGAAGAATGGATGAGCCAAAACGAAATACCTGTATCGATACCAATAGAATCATGGAGATTATCACTAATCTTGTACGTAATGATCTATATCACTCGTTTATAGAACTTAAAAAACGTAGAAACAGGAGCAACCAACAATTTATCAATTAATGGAACAAACTCGACGGACAACTTTATAGATGATTTTTCACTATACAAACTTTGTTGACAGCCGAACATATGGCTCAGACATATGCTCAAAAATCTATTGAGAAGAAAGCGTAAGAAGGAAACAACGGATTTAAATCAACTAATATTCAATTTTGAATCAAAAGAATCGCAAAACTCATTGAAACTCGCTTAAAATCATCAAAATCGTTTGTTAATCAGGACACTTCTTATACTATGCAGACATCTCTGACATTCAGTTTTTCATAGCGTTGACGAAGTGGCTCAGCCACAACATGAGTCTCGTTGAATTGTTTTTTTTTGCTAATGTATAGTTTAATTAAGTCCTTGAAAACTGTCTCTTCGTATGAGTCCATTGAACCAATTTTCCTTCACCGTTCTTTTCTTAGCAGCGTCCGAAAACAAAAAATACACATCCACGTCATTAATAACAAGGAGAATTGCATAAAAAAATTTAATATCATCTAACTAGTGTTTAATAGCGATAATGTCCACTAGAGCATACTGTTCATTTGTTCATATGCAATTCGAAATAACTAAAATTTTAATATGGCTTTCATAGGTATGGATGTATATTTTGTGAAGAGTAACTTTTTTAAGGATTCATGTAAACTGATTGTTGGTGAGCTCAATTTATAGAGATTCATAGTGTGGTAGAGATAGTTTTTCAACACTCTGAAACGATGGGTACTAGTGCCTGCATCATACTTTATTAATCTACATGACTGTCGGACGACTTTACAAGGTTTTTAAAAAAAATTAAAAGTTCTATTTTTGCTATATTTTTGATCGTCGATTAATCTGTAGCTATAATTTATGAAGAATTTGTATAAATACGAATGTTTAGAAATTTTTCAAAGTGTGAAACAGTTCAAGACAAGGTACAACATATAAACCAACATTACATGGAGCACACTCATATCTTGTATTAGTTCTTTGTTTTTTTTTTGGGCCTATTGTTATATTACCGCAGACATGACACCTTCACCTCTTTGTTTCTGCAAATGTACCTTTAACGGAATAATCTTGAATAAGTGAAGGAAAGTGTCGAGCAGGGAGCCTCAATGCATTTTTTAAAGATAGTCTTCCTTTTGTTTTTCATTCTTTTGACTTCCAATAGATTCGACGATGGATACGATCAGTTCCAATCAAAAATCCGATAGATGCATTGTTTCTTCCGGTCTTGAACTTGTATAAAATGGAGGCATTGATTAAAGTAATATCAAATAGATGAAAAAACAATTTACAAGTATAACACCACCTAGCATGTCCTGTTAGACAGCAACGTTTCTCATCAGGATCTTAGGTTTTAGCAAATTCTCATGTAAGAATCAGTTGTTTTATATTTATTATGCACTGCTAATTATCACAGTAAAAGAATTCATAACTCAAATTACATCAAAATAAGTGCTTGAGAAATGCTTTCACAGAAATTGATATCACCTATGATTCTATGAATATCAATATACCATGAAATTAGTGTGCTGCATATTTGCGTCGCCCGTAGCCAACGAGTTAAATCGAATATATCTAACTATTATAGATATAAATAAAAATTGTATCAGTAAGTTTCATTTAAAATAAACTCTAGAGAATCTATTTATCTATAATGCATTTAATATAAAAACATACTCATCGTTTATTTTCGCTAAGGTCGTCAACAATAAAGAATAAGCAAAGTACCTAAAATAAGACTCTCCCGATCATTCCTATACAATCAAAATCTTTAGAGAACTACATATTATTGATCAAAACTGATTTTCGATCTGATAGAGGGCACTGGAAATCGAACATTGTCATTGATATAAAAAAAAACATAAAGTAGGAAACTTTACCGGAAGTAGAAAATTTCAATGATGCTTGCAAATTCATATTTATTCAATTTTTTTTTAATCAACAATAAAAAATAAATTGATCAGTTCCTTACCTAGCAAAATGTTTTTTTTTTATTTTCATGGCGGTTTTTCTTCTTCATCACGTCACAATGTCTTTATAATTTTTCGACGTCTACAATGCTCTTTATAGAGACAATACAAACATTTCGGCTTTTTTTTCAAAAAATTTTCTTTTTTGTAATAATCTTTCCATTTTTCTTTCTGTATTTTGTAGAACTTTTTCCTAGTTTTCCAGTCGGTGGGAAATGGGCGTACAAAGCAATCAATTACCAACAATAGGATCAATAGAAATACCAGCTAAATGGGATTCTCGATACGCTGGTCATGTTCCACATGACACATCATATTATTCAAAATGTGTTTTCGGTGGTATTCTTGCTTGTGGTCTTACACATACAGCTATTTGTCCGCTCGATGTTACAAAATGTAATATGCAAGTATGCGGTTTAAAAGAAAAGAATAATTTTTCGTGTAGAATAATGATGTATTCAATGAAAAACTTTTCTAAATATATTATGGAAAAATCTAGCGATCAATAGTTGTTTTTTAAATTTTTGTCCTTGAAGGTAAAAAAGTATAAAAAATAAAACACTCAAATCATTTTTTCTGTTCTGTGTGCATTATGTAGTCTGCTTGATGTTTTTCTTTTTCATCGTAAATATTTCAATGGGAGAAAGGATTAGACGACGATATTTTCATAGGTTTCGAATGTGTATAAATTTATGTTATAAATCTATCCATCAGTTTCATATTCATGTCTAACAACACATAAAAAATTTTGCTTATTTTTCTCTATAGGTCAATTCTGAAAAATATACAGGTTTAGTCAAAGGTCTTCGATTAATTGTTGCTGAAGAAGGTAGTCAAGCTATATGGAAAGGTTGGTTACCAACACTTTTTGGATATTCAGCACAAGGAGCATTCAAATATGGTCTTTATGAAGTCTTCAAAGATCAATATGCTAATATGCTTGGTAAAGATAATTTTGAAAGATATAAAGGTCTTGTTTGGTGTGCAGCATCAGCATCAGCAGAATTTTTTGCTGATATGGCTTTATGTCCATTTGAAATGGTTAAAGTTAAAGTACAAACGGCACCAAAAGGTACATTTCCAATAGAATTTGGTTCAGCTTGGTCACAAATGAATGCTCAGCGAGCAGAAACTGGCTTTCCATATCGATCACTTATACCATTATGGTCACGACAAATTCCTTATACAGTAGCAAAATTTTTCTTCTTCGAAAAAGTTAGTGTTTTTTTAAAATAGGAATAATTAGTAGTTTCATGAAAGCATATTTTAGGTTGTACAATTATTTTATACGTATGTATTTACAAAACCAAAAGATACATACTCAAAAACAACACAACTCGGTGTTACATTTTCTTCTGGTTATACAGCTGGTGTTATTTGTGCTATTGTTTCACATCCTGCTGATTCACTTGTTTCTCTTCTTGGTAAACCAGCTAATAAAGGCAAGAGTTTAGGACAAATTATTAATGAAACTGGATTTGCTAAACTTGCTACTAAGGTTTGTTTTCTTCGAATTGAATAAATAATTGATGATAATTTCATTTGAATAAATTTTCTAGGGTCTTGGTACTCGTATTCTTATGATTGGTACATTGACTGGTCTTCAATGGTGGATTTATGATACATTCAAAACAGCTATGGGTATGGGAACAACCGGTGGTAAATAATTCAATTAACAATTTTGTCCAAACAAACTTCTT